GTCACGCGATAATATTGTTGTGTGTTGTCCAACGGTCTTGTTTCAATCCTGCATCCCGCTACTATTTTTGGCTCAATCCCGCCATCCCGCCCCACTCAGTATGTTTATCCCGCCCGGTTATGTTCGCAGTTCTCCGGGTAACATCTGTAACGTGTGATTTTCCGTTTTTAATCCCGCATTCTGCTGTCAAGTTTAAAACTATTCCGCATCCCATATCTCACTGAAAATGAGCAGATCCCGCTCCCGACAAAATAATTTGATCCCGCGATTAAAAGTCGTGTCATCCCGGCCGGTATCCCGCCCTCATTTTCGCTCTAATCCTGCCAAATGTATGTTGGACCCTCAATGTTGGCAGTAGGCTCGATTACCAGCCGCTGTTCGAGAAAAGAGCCCGCGCTCCTCCCCCGAACTCTCTTCTCGGGGAGGAAAGCTGACCGGACTCGAGAAGGCGGTGGAAATCGAGCCTATGATGGCAGGAGGATTCGTGAACTGTCAAGAGAGCAATATGATATGCTCCGGTAGGCACACAGAAAATTTATAAATGCAATGCTTAATCGTCAATTCGCGAGTGGGTTATTTTTAAACAAGCTATCATCGTCGCTTGTTTTAAAACAAAATTTAGCAGGAACGAGTTGTAAACGGGTCGTAGCAAGAGGTATTAGGCCATGTTTAAAATCAGGAATGGTTACCCNCTGGTCCTGCTCTAAGAGCTTGGTCAGTTTAGACAAAAAAAACCAAACCAGTTGTAAGAACTGAACCGTGCCATGAAGAATTTGGACCAAAATATGCTTTCCTTTAATCAGTTAATATCGTAAATTAGAAAATTCAGAATTTCAAAACAGCATGCCAACGATCATTAATTCCTGTGATTTGTATCCAGCATACTGAATAAGAACTAACTTATATTGTCTTGACCTTTCGGTCCGTATAGCTTCATCAAATAAATGGTGAGCGCCGCCTTTAGACTTGAACCATTTCCTTTTTTTTCCAGACAGGAGGTGGCGACCAAGAATGAGCAAAATGCAGTTTATTTTCTCATGTTTTTCAGTTAAGCTTTTCACGGGACGATCCTAGGAGACGACTGAGAACTTCTTATAGTCTCTAATATAGGCCACTTTCGGGTCTATTTCTAACAATTTAACATTGTGCATAAAAGGTCACCAAATCATACATTTAATTATTTTTTACTGGACATTCGAGGATCCAAATGAAAATAATTAAACTACTTTTTTCACTACG